TTAGGTGGGAAAAGGAGACTATAAGTGAATAATTCTGATAATAAAAATGGATAAATTCATAAAATGCTTTCTTGGTCAGATACTATTTTTAACACTTAGCATATTATGATCTCATTTAATCTTTACAACAAACCTACGAGGTTGGTACTGTTGTTGAACATCAAAGGAAACTGAGGCACGTAAGGTTAAATAATTTGCTCAATGTTAGAACAGGAAGAAGGCAATCTATCATTCAAACCCAGGCACTATGATTCCCTGCACTTAATCCTCACCCTATCTTTCATTTCCTAAGTAAATGTGAACTCATTCATCCAATAAATGTGTTATGAACATCTATAAGCTGACAAGCATTGCAAATAGTCTGTTGTTACGTCATTTAACACATTAACTGCCATGAGAGTTGCATTTCACTCACTCTAGTTTTGACCCCAGGGCTGTGTGAAGCATGTATAAACTCTTACTTGTTGATGTTCTTACATTACAATTAATATTGACAATTTAATTCCAAAAACATGGATTAAATAAATAGAAGTCTATCAAGTTCACTTTTCCATTTATGTTTACCTTTAAATTACACTTGAAGTTTTTATTCTATTTTCATAATAAAACACTGTGGCCCCAAGGAAAATTTCCTGTTTCTTTTGTGTGACAATGTGTTAAAAAACTGATAAAAATTTATAATCATGTATCCTTTATTCAGAAAGATCATACTTACAGTATGTTAATTACAAAGAAAGATGACTTGTTTGCTACATATTTTCATTTCAGTATGTGTATGAAGGAGGCAATTCAAGTAATATATGTATCGACTTTTATTTCTCCTCAAACACTAAATAATAATGTATGTGCAACTCAGAAATACAGAAAATCAATTTTGGGTAAAGTTATTAATTAGTATGAATTAAATAAAAATGAACTTTTTCCTCTAAAAAGTACAAAGCAAAACAAGGCCAGTGAAAGATTATTTCAGACTACCAGTGCAGTAATTTACTAAATGATGTTATGTAAGACATTGTTTTAAAGTAAATACCCATGCACATTTTACACTCCAACATAACAGAGTTAAATTTACAAAGACCCAAAATTGGGTGCTCCCTCTTGAACTCAACTTTTTTGTCAGTAAATGGTTGTACACTGCATTAAGCTCACCTTCTCTTGTCTCCAAGCATGCCATTTACAAGGTTGAGAAATAACCTGCAATCCTATTTTTAAAAAGAGAGAAAGATTTCTTAAACTGACAATAATTTTTTTTAAAAGTTAACCAATTTCTGTTATTTTTATACTACTTACTGTTTCAAATTCAGAGTCTTTAATTCCTTTAAATGCATTAGCAATAAAATCCATTGAAAACCACTGACATGCCAGTTCTTGCCTTTGTTTTTCTGTGGTCATTCTACATAAAGCTTCTACGATGCCTACCTGTAGGTCATAATCTATAAAAAAATTTGTTAATCAATGTTTGATTTGAAATTATGAAAAATAAGTTTATAAAAGTCC